TATATATATATAAGCATAGTATTTATTTACATATAAAATTTATTATAAAATTTAATTATGTTATAAATTATATATAATAAACATGTCTATACATTATATACACTAAAATACTAGTTATATAAAAATATAAAAATAAAATAATTAAAATAAAAAATTATGAAAGTCTTAGCACACAAAAATTTATATATTTAAAGCTAAAATATTAAAATATTAACATATTAAATTAGTACATTTAATCTAAAATATATTCATACATTAAAAAATCAAAAACATATTAAAGTAATATAAGTACAATATACTTTAAATAAAATATATATTAAATTTAATACTTATTTATTAACAAGATACTAAATTCACTCATATTTTAAAACTCGTCATAAAGTTAGAGAAGAAAAAAATTCTCTTATATCCTCAACCTATGGATTCATATATTTACTTTTTGTAAAATCTACGGACTTTGCAAATTAGAGTTAATTCCAATTATAATTATGTGAATTTAAAAATAATAAAAAGTTTGTTAACCGTGTGAACACAAAATCAACAACCAATTAAAAAATTTAAAATTACGAATTTTGGTACAATTAGATTCAATTCTAGTTACACCAATTTAATTAAATTTTTTTATTTCGTCCCTGGAGTATCCACCAGGGAGTGACTAAACTTCTTGCTAGGTTGGAGGCACCTCAAAGAGTGGGATAGTTGATCCCAAAATTTAACGCGATTGCATACACAGACAAATTCGAACCCCTAACCTTGCTTAAACGTGGCCCTTACTACTGAATCACACGCTTGAGGTTATCAATTTAATTAAATTAATGTTTGATTAATGACAATTATATCTCAATTTTTTTTTAAAAAAATTTATCAGAAAATTCAGATAAAAAAAGTGAATTTATTTAATTAATGAAAAATGATTTGATTGGGATTTGGATGAGAAGTGGTTTACATGGCTGAAGGCAGTGGGCCCACATGATTGTATAGAAGGTGATGGTGGTGCCAAAAGCCACCCCCTTCTCCTTCCAATCTGTAATCGGGGCAAACACAAAGTGATTTCAGAATCTTAGTATATGCTGTCTCTCTGCAATTCCCATGGAACCTAAAACACAACCCCCAGGTTCCTTCTCTTTTTCATTCGCCTCACACACTTTATCTTCTTCACCGCCATGCCATGCTGTTTAATTCGTCAAAACCCTAGAATCCCTCCCACTCCACATAATTAACAATCGATTTCCATCTTCCTTCACTGGATCTATATCTGATTCTCTTCAACATCATATATTTGTTTTTTGCCCCCTTTTTCTATGTATGAATTGAAGTAAGCTTAATCTGAACATTCTGAAAACGAGTTTCGTTTATCTTGGCCTCGCAGTGGAGTCGTGTTTGAATTATATTCTAATTTGTGTTTTGAACTATTTAGTTTTGCTTTTTGTTTTTCTAATTGTGTGGAAACAAACAGCCTAACTCACCTATGCTCACACTTTACAAAAGCTTCTTCTGTTCGGTGTGAAGGGTAGTCTCTTGTTTATTTCATACTTGATATTGATAAATCGTGGCCTTCCAACCGTCCTAGGAACGAAGTATGACGTTAGAATCTTTACAAATTGTTTTGAAAATTTCTTGATATTTTAGTTGTGTACATAAATTTTTGTTGCAGGAAATGGTCCTCCACCTAAACCCTGGGAACAAGCAGGTTCCTCGTCTGGCCCCGCGCCTTTCAAACCGCCGTCAGCCGGCAACACGAGTGATGTAGTTGAGGCTTCAGGGACTGCAAAACCCGGAGAAATCGTTGCTAGCTCTGATAGGAATGCAACAACTGTTAATAGAAATTCTCTTGGGAGGCCTGTTCCCACAAGGCCATGGGAGCAGAATTATGGAAATAGCGGCTATGGAGGTGATTTCTTCTTCTCTGAAATAGCGGCTATGCAGATTGTGTCATGTTGTAGCTCTTCCTCTCTGTTTAGCTATTTATTTGTTAGTCTATTTTTAATGAATGTTGTTGTTTTTAATTATTATATATGCAGGATATGGTTCTGCATTGAATTATAATTCCGGGTATGGATCTGGAATGTATGGATCTTCTTATGGTGGACTTGGAGGAGGAATGTATGGTGGGGGACTGTATGGAAACAGTATGTACAGGGGAGGATATGGTGGCATGTATGGCTCGTCTGGGATGTATGGAGGTGGAATGTATAACAGTGGCTTTGGCGGTCCAATGGGTGGTTATGGCATGGGTGGTGGCCCTTACGGAGATCAAGACCCCAATAATCCATATGGTGGCCCTCCCTCCCATCCTGGATTTTGGGTTTCTGCCCTACGTGTGGTGAGTCATATGTTACTTTGGTGAAGTTAGTTTTCCTTCCGTTAGGATGATTTGCGAACGTATCAATGGACATTGTTTCTTTCAATTTGATTTCACTAGAATAGATTGTTTGTCAAGTCATATTTAATTTCTTCACCATTGGCAACTTATTTCATATTGTGATGGTTGGTTCTAGATAAAACCTGTTAATTTTGTCATTGCATCCTATTGTGCAAAAAGAATATGAATCTCATGTTTCATTCATGGTATTAGTTACGACCTGGGAGTGCCTATGAGCTACGTGGGAGACAATACATTATGATAACAGGGATAATGCCTGTGTGTGTTTAATTCAGTTAATTTTGAAGAAATGATCAATTATTTTTAACAACTTTTGCTAGAGCTTATGAAAAATAAGCTATTTCAAACATGCTATTAATCTTTGTTGTTGGGAACTATTGGTCTATAATGAAACTTCTTGTATTTAAAGTTCTTGGTTATTAAAGTAGCATAGGAAAATGGATGTTATATTTAAGTACTTTTTTGGGCACTCTGCTTACTCTTATATTTTTATTTTGGGCTATTTTAATATGAATATGATTTCATGTTATATGTTGTTCAAAATTGTTCTTTGCATTTGTTGAACTTGTTTCTCTCTGTTGCCAGATGCAAGGTGTGGTTAACTTTTTTGGTCGAATAGCAATACTCATAGACCAGAACACACAGGCTTTCCATATGTTCATGTCTGCCCTTCTCCAGGTTTTGTATTTGTCATTCTCTTTCCATTTTATATAATTTTTTCTATTTGCTAATTATATACCCAGTTTCTATGGCTGTTGTAAGATTGAAATTTAACTGAAACAAGAAATCATACATGTTCTGTGTTTTTGAATTGCTGTGATTTTTTTATTTTTATTTTTTATTTTTATAGTTTTGGTGACGATCACTTGTATGGATTTTATTTATTTATTAGAAAGTTGTCTAAAAAGTGGTCAGTGATTTTGTTTAACTTTGGATATTAACAGGAAATATAACTTTTTGGTGTCAAATTATGGGAAAGGGTATATAGAAACGATCCACTGTCTTTTATACAAAATTTTATGTGTAGTTTGGTCATGCTTGGTGAATGATAGCATATTCTGGCAAAACCAATAGCAAGTTCCTACCAGCTTTTCTAGACTCACTATTTATAGAAGTAACTATACAATGTAATTGTTCTCCGGAATGCACTTTGTACCTTGTTTGATATTTATTCTAATATAGCGGGTGTAGCTATCTTATTTTTTCTGTTTCCTCTGCACAGTGCCAAATCTGGGAACCCAGTCTATAATATAACCACTTGCATTTTATCATGTTTCGTATATAGTTTAATTTTAGTCGATTACATGATCTCTATTGCAGCTGTTTGATCGCTCTGGTTTATTGTATGGAGAACTAGCTAGATTTGTGTTGCGGTTGCTTGGGATTAGAACTAAGCAGAGGAAGGTTGGTCCGCTAGGTCCGAATGGACAGCCACTGCCTGGACCACACAATTCTTCTGGAAATATAAACTACATTGAGGCACCAAAGGCTGCTCCAAGTGGTTCTTGGGACAACGTTTGGGGAAATGACCCCACTCAATGATATGGTGAAGTTATTTTGCTTAAAGAGTTCGTCCAAATATGTTGAAAAGAAGAAACAGCAGCATTCTACAAGACGACACTGAAGTTGCAAAAGTCGTAATGTATATCATGGGTTTCAAGTTGAGTTGGCTGTTTTCTCTTTGCTTGCGTTGGTTCTTGATTTTACTGGAAGGGGATCTTAAATAAGATACCATCCCTGCATTATACCTTGTAAGCTTTTACTTTGAGTCTACTGCACGCTGCTATATGCTACTTGCATGTATTTATTTGTATCCAACGTAATATTGCATACCTGCGTTATGATTTTCGGGGGTCATGTAACAGTGTGAACATTCTTCAGGTTTGCTTTATCCATGGATCTGCCAAACGTCCGTATGACTACATAAAGTCTGCGTTAAATTTTTAGTTTAGTTGGAGTTTTTATCACAATATTAGTTATAGATAATGCGTAATTTGATCCTTTAAAATTTTGTTGGATTTCATCCATTATTTTTAATTGTTGTAATTAAATTATTTCATGAAAATTGGTCCGGTCTATGAATGTTTGGATTATTTAATATTTGGTATACATAATTATCAGAATAATATAACATGATTTAATGTATATATTGATAACATCTATATAAAATAAATATTTTCTTATAAAAGAAATAATTAAAAAAATGCCATTAAGTATATTCTCCACTCACAACATAGAAAAAACAAATAATTTGTTCTTGCAGGTTAGGAACAATTGTCATATCTACAAATTAATCAGGTTTTTGGGTAGAAAATAAGAGACAGAATAGAAATACTAATTTTTCACCATTTATTTCATGTAAATAGGAGTCAGGAGCGTTGTTTTTGTAAGACTCAAGAAATATTTCCTCCTTTCCAATTAGAATGAAAAGGGAGAAATGTGTTCTCTATTCCTTTTCTTTTTATTTTCCTCGCTTATTTTTTTCAACATAATTATGATATATTTTTTAAAAAGATAGTAAGTCTGTTATTATAGGAGAAAAAGTATTATATTAAAATTAATTTAAATATTCAATATATATATATATATATTATTTATTTCTTTCATCTCTTTCACTTGTTTGAAAAATTAGAGAACTTAACAGAAACAAAAGGGTAAAAGAATGTCCCTCTCTTTCTTGACAAAATTATGCATAGTCATTGAAGTCTATATATTAATATCTACTATTTTTTAAAGCAAAAATAATTTTTGAACATCACAAATTTATTTGACATGTTTTAGAGGTTAGAAAGTTGCACTTTACAAAATAAAATACAATAATAATTATTGATTAAAAAATTAATAATAAATTGTATTTTTTTAAAATTTTATTATGTATAAATTCAATTTTATCATAATTTTTAATCGTTGATTTTCTAATCAATAATTATAAATATAATTTATCTTTTAAAACATACTCATAACTTTAGAAGAATTAAATCTTTATTTGATATATAGAGAAATAAATGGATATAAATAAATATGATAGATGATGTAATTTAATAAATAAAAAAAAGATAAATAAAAATTATAAGTACTAATGAAATATTTATAATAATATAATATTAATATTGATATCAATATATATATATCATTAATATTTTTATTTTTTATATATAATATCATATATCGTATTTATTTGTCTCTATTTATCTACCTTGTGTCAAATAAATCTGTGATGTTCTTGAAATATATTTATTTTAAAAATTAATAGATATTAAAGTATGAGAATGATATTTATAGGAAGAGAAAAAGTATAATTTTTTATTATTATTACAAAGGGATATAAATTCTAACCTTAATGAAAATCAACATAATTATATTTTTATCATTTAATATTAAATTAAAATATCAAAATTGCCCTATTTAGGTTGTGTGTATATTTCTCATACAAACCCTACTCTTTCCGTTTTTTTTTATTGTCTTTAAGGTTATATGTTCAAGAATTAAGACAATGATTGATATTTTAGTTTTTCAAAGTATTTATTACATATTTTTCTGTTATACCCTTTAAGTGATTAGAGAAAAAATAAGTACATTAAAAAATAAATAGATACTTTGTTCAGTAAACATGCATTAATTATGAAAGATAAAAATAAAAATAAAAATAATAAATTAATTTTAAAAAAATGATAATAAAAAAAATAAAATAAAATCTGATAAAACAACTATTGAAAAAAAATGGAAGGAATACAGAATTACAAAGTGATTACAAAAAAAAAATGTGTACATGGAATAACAAAGGCGTAAAATGGAAAAACGAAAAATAAAGCATGATTATTGATTAGTAGAAAAAGAGAATTTTGGGGAGCATTGATGAATCATGATGATGTTGCTGTAGTCACTCAGTAGCTCTGAAAGAAAAGAAGTGTCAGTGATAACTAACAAGCAAAACAGAACACCGATTGATTCCTAGAGATCCACCATGAAGAACGACAACATCAACCGTGAACACAACAAAGACACTACAACTGGAATTCTAGATTCCCGATTCAACCAGACCCTCAGAAATGTTCAAGGGTATCTATCCTCCTTTCTTCTCCCAACTTAGTTGCTTTTAATTTTTCCTCGTAATTTTCTGAAAAGCTTATGATCTCGAGAATTTCGCTGCCTGATTCGCTGATCTTCACTGGTTGATGTTTTCATCCGTCGGACATTGAGAACCCATTAAAAAAATTGGATTTTTTTTGACATTAGGATCACGAATTTTTGATTGGTGAAATTCTATGACATGGTTAGAATTAGGAATGGTTTATGTGTGTCTGATAGAAGGCAATAAGCCAATGTTGATGTGATTGTGATCCGTTCAATCAAATTGGGTAGCTTCTTTTCGTAGTGTTCTGGATTATTGCCGTGAAATGCTGGGATCATGGAAGCATGTGCCTTATACGTTTGATGGGAATTTCTATTTTTCCTTTGTCAAGGTTACTCAAGGGTCGTAGCATGCCTGGTAAAATATTATTGAGCCAGAGGGTTGAACCTCCAGATAACTCAAACTTAGCCTCACCAACTTATATAAGGAACTCCTCATTCGGTGATACCGGCACGAGTAATCGCACAACTGAGACCGTAGAGGTGATTTTAGTATTCATGTTTCTAAGTTACATAATCTAATAGACAAAACTTAGATACGGTACTTCAAGTATTATTAGTGCTATTCTCCAATTAGAATCGAATTTTCACTTTAATAATATGCATTTATATTTATTAACAAGGTGAAACTCTAATTCTGGTTGGAGAACATGTAAGATATATTGGTAGCACTTCATAAAGTGAAACCTCTATTCTTAACACAGGAGGAAGTTCACAGTACAAGTAAACAATTTCATACTCCCAATGAGAATAAGTTAAAAGTATCAGCGTCCAATGTAGAGAGTGCATCTGAAGAAGTCCGGAAATCTTCCATGGGTGCTAGAGCTACAGATTCTGCTAGAGTTATGAAGTTCACTAAGGTGCTTTCTGGGACGATGGTTGTATTAGGTATTTTAACTTTTTCGTTTCTATTTTGTTTTTTATGTTACTTATTGACTTCTTTCTCATTGCTCCTTTATGGCCACTCTGGTTATGGAAGTGTCATATTTTGCTCTGAGCTGTATGCTCAGATAAACTTACTCATGACATAGTTGCCTTTTCTTAAAGAATTTTTCGATGGTAAGGCCCAAAATAATTTACAAGGCAAATGGAGCATTGCTATCATACATGATGTTTTCTGTCATCCCCTTTTCAAAATGATATCATTGATGCCTTGATTGATGGCCAAAAATGCTGTTCATGTCAAGCATATAATAAAAAATAATTATTGAGGAAGAGCGGAGAAATTCAA